TTGGTACATTTGGAGGAGGGACAGTGGCCACTGGCCATTGGTGACCCGTAAAGCAGGACTTTCCTAAGCAAAACAGGAGGTGTGGTCACCTCACCTTGGGGAGGGGGACAGGGGAAGTGTCCTGGGGGGCCTGCACCCAAGCTGCGCCTCTGTGCAGCCGGATGACTGCCCTTGGGCAAGACCCCACTGGCTGCCCAGACCGGCTTCCTTGTCCATGACATGGGCTCTTGCTGGGGTGGCCTCTAAGGCTGTGGCTGCCGTTTAAGCCAGGACACCCCCAAATCTGCACTGTGCCTTTTCATTCCTGCCACCAACTTCCATGCCATCTGGACCTCACTCCACCAGTCTTGCTTCTTGGTCCCACCAGGAGGGGGGGGCCTGGCCCAGCCTCTGTCCAGGTCACCCCTTGTCTTCCTCAGGGGGTTTTCACTGGGTGGGTGAGGTATCCCTATGCTCCTGATTCCCCCTCCCCAGGTACACACTGGAGAAGAGGGAACAGGTGTGTCGTGGCCTAGAGCATGTGAGGAAGCTCTCAGACACACCCAGATGTGAGGATGAAGCAGTTATATTGCGTGTTAGTTTTCTTAACAGTCAACACCAATTACTAAGTACTTTAGGGATTTTAAGTGTTTTTTCCCAGAGGCGAGATCCTATGTACAATCCAGCATCTAGCATTTGCTCAGTAAACTCACAGGAAGATGATGTGAAGCCCTGGGATGAGAAGTGGACGTTAATATTCAGGACTGGTTTTGCTGGAGCTGATTTCTACCAACGGGCTCCGTCACAGTAACTCATATGCGCAGGTCACTGTTCCAAAGTGTCGTCCCAGTCATGAGCCCATTTGCCCCTCAGAGGAGCCTGAGGAGTTGTCGAGCCAATGTTCCAGCCTGCGTTTAATGAACAGGAATAATCACTGAGGTTTTGAAGCACAAGGGCATGGCCATGGTTTTGAAGGGAGAGCACAGAACCAGGACCCACGCCCAGTTCAAATTTGCTCCCTGCACCCTGGGAGCAAGGAGCTGGAGCAAGTAGGAAAGGATATTGGGATTCTCCAGCTATGCCCAGGGTAGAGCTGGGACCCTCTCTGCAACCTCCTGGGCTGCTGAGCAGAATCACAGTTGACTTTTGGCTCTCATGTTCAACACCAAAACAGGAGTGAAGAAAGGTCGCTCTGCTCCAGGCTCGTCTCCATAACCCCCTCCCAGTTGGGCCTATACCCCCATCACTGCTGCCCATGTCTGGCCATGAGGCCTCCAGATGTATGTGGTGAAACTGCATGCTCCAGCCCTAGCACAGATCTGGGATGGATGGACAGACAGACAGATGGGCAGGTGGATGGGTGGATGGATGGATGGATGGACAAATGGATGGGTGGATGGATGGACAAATGGATGGGTGGATGGATGGATAAATGGATGGGTAGATGGGTAGATAGGTGAATTGATGGACAAATGGATGATTGTATGGATGGACAGACAGGTGAACAGATGGAATGGTGGGTGGATGAGTGGATGGAGGGATAGAAGATGGCTGGATGGACAGATGTTACCTGGGGGCCTCTGCAGTGCCTTTCATGGTGCCAGCTTGTAGCAAGTACTCAATAAGTATGTGCTGTTTTTTTAGTTTGAAATACAATGGCCCTACTTTGAGTTTTGCATGAGCAGAAAGCCACGCCACTACAGTGGTGCCTAATACTTAGCCAGACGTTGCACCGTGGTTGTTGTGGGTCCCCTCTGCGTAGCTGGTCGGGTATTTTTCTCTTGAGTACGCAGACTGTAAGTCTGTGTTCTGTCTTCTCCGTGCTGCTGCTTATCTCGTTCAGCCATACACCTGCCTGTGAGCACTCACTGACTGTGTGACAGGGGTGAGCGAGCACCCGCTCAGAGCCCTTGACCTCACATACCCTCTGAGCTGTGGCTGGACAGGATAACTACCCAGGATGTTTGGAAATGCACACCCGAGACCATTGTGTTAGACTCAGCATGTGTGTATGTATTTAACACACTCCTCTTCCACTTCCCTTCCCTCCCTGAAAAATTCAGTCCTAAATCCATAGGTTCATCAAAGCAAGGTGGACACCTGCAGTGGGCAAAGTGGGGGGTGGTAGGACACAGAGACCAAGGTCAGGGTGTCAGAGCCAGAGTGAAGAGGGAAACTCAGGGGAAGGGAAGCAGCATTGGTTGGGGGCTGTTTACATACCAGGATCAAATAAGGAAATAGCTTAAGATTGGTAGAAACCAGGTTTCTCACTTTTGGAGAAAGGAGTTACAAGTAGAATGAACTCTGGCATGTTAGATTGGAATTGGGAGTATCAGGGGACTCCAAGTTTCAGATAGACAGATGATAGGTAGATAGGTAGATAATAGATGGATGGATAGATAGATAGATGACAGATGAAAATGTCTGTGTACACGTGTGGGTGTGTACACACGCACGCACACACGCGTTCCCCAGCTCTACTTACTGAGTCTAGGAGCAATGACATCAGCAAATAATTATATTTTGGCTTCTAAACACCATTATCCACTATCTTAAAAAAACAACAACAACAAAAAAGAAAAACGAGAAATGGCTGAATCCAGGGCTGAAGCAGAAGAGATACAAGATGAATCTTGTTGACTGAAAAAAAAATGCACAACCTAAAAGTTGAGAGTTATGTTTTATTCGATGGGCAGAACTGAGGACTTAAGCCTGGGACACAGACTGTCAGTTGGCTCTGAGGGACTGCTCCAAAGAGGTAAGGAGGGGAACCAGGATACATAGGCATTTTTGTAACAAAGACCGGGTTGTCAGAACATCAAAAGATTACTGTTAATTAAAGAAAACCAGACATCTCAAGTTAAGGAATTTAGTGCTTTTCTGTGTATGGGAAGATGCAAGAGTCTGGACTCACTGAAATCATTCCTGTCAATATGTACTGCAGCTCTCTGGGGCCAGTATCCTGTGTTTTCTCATCCTGAGTCCCCTCAGTGTGCACCGTCAGGGGTGGCTGCCACAGCTGACTGCTAGATGGGGGAGGGGGGCCATCCTGCTTCCATCCTGAGTTCCCTCAGGGCTCACCGTTAGGGCACCTGTAGTGGCTGATGGCTGCAACAGCCTTTGTTTACTGAAATGGCAGGCGGCATTTTTAGTTCACAACCTTGACCATCTTCTTGTGCTGGAAAGCAAGGATGTGCTTTAAAAAATGACGGGGGCTATCACACAGACACAGATCCCACTTGAACAAGCCCCACTGACCAGGGCGGGTATCTGAGCATCAAAATAATCACATGGATGGATTATAACACAGTGAATCAAATAGAAGCCTGGAATCCAGAGAGATATCAGTAAATGTATCAAGGCTTGGTGAGGAGTGGAATATGTCTGTAGATTCCAAGTTCCTCCCCATAAAGTGCTTATTAATTACGGAGAGGAAGTGAGCAGCTCTGCAAGGGGGAGCCTGGCCGATGGCCACGAGAGAGATCCACCCAACTGGACACCACGAGAAGGATGCAGTGTAACCCAATCTGCTCTGACTGTGAGGAAACACACACCCAGACCATGGACATTCTACACAATACTGGGTCTGTGGTCTTCAAAACGGCCTAGGTCTTAAACGTCAAGTACCCTGAGGAATGTTCCAGACTGAGGACGGCTAAAGAGATACCACAGCTGAATGCAGTACACCATCCAGAACTGGGGCAGATGGCACATGGTGACTGGGGTCTTTCACGGTGACAGGTGCATTGTTGCATTCTTGATTAGACGAATTCCCAGTTCTGATGGTGATGTAGGAGAATATATCTGCAGGAACGTAACCCCACTCACAGGAAATGCACACGATGTTCTGCCGGGTGATGGGATTTCAGGTTGGCAATTTACTTTCAAATGGTTCAGAAGGAAAAAAAAAAAGTTATTTATACTCTGCAAATTTTTTGTGAGCTTTTAGGTGCTGCCAATTTTTTTTAAGTCTTAAAATAAGGTATATTGAGTCCCCCAAAAAAGAACAAGAAAAAACTATTGGTACAATAACAACAAAACTCCCCAGGTGATTATGAGGCATCCCCAAGGATTCAGAGCCTTTGTTTTAGAAGCCACACAAGCAGTTGGCTACAGGCTATGTACACAGAACCCTTTCCCCAGGCCACCCCACCCCAGAATTCTCAAGCAGGGCCACACTTGCTAACTCTGCCCCACCTGCTTAGAGACCGCCCTCAGTTAATTCTGGGCGCCCCGCCCCATTCGAGTGCCCAAGAGGCCCCATCAACCTCGGGGCACTGGCCTTCCTCTCTCCATGCTTCTTCCCTTTGGATTGGCCTGGTTGTTAAGAGACATCAAGGCTACAGTTCTCTGCCCATGTCCTAGAGTCATGAGTTATGCAGGTTTTGGAGCCCACTCTTGCCCTGAGCCTCGAAGAAGAGCCAGGGGATGGCTGGGGAGGGTCCGAGTGGCCTGGGTTGGGCATTCTGTCACTCCCTGTACTACCTACCACTCAAGGCAGCCTTCTTACCACCATCTTCAGTCGGGGTATCCCCTGGAAAGGCCCACAGATCTTGGTAGCAGTGGACCCACCGGCCCATCAGACGTGCCCAGGCATACCTGCCCCCCTGAGGGTAAAGCTTCAGCCTAAGCTGCTGGATGTGAGCATGAACCCAAGGGGGAGCCTCCATGCCTCTTGCCCCAACTGCATCCTTGTCAACCCGCCCAGAGAACCAGCCCCCATGTTGTCACACACTCTGGGCGCCTCTGCCACCAGGGAGACTGCATCTTAAAGGGAGCTGGCTGCCCACGTTGCCAGGTTCTCTGCTTCGGCTTCTATCCTGAGACCACCCACCCCAGGGTCAGGGCGTAGAGCTGGGTTCAGTGTGCTTGCCAACATCGAGTGGCGTGGAGGGGGGCCGTGGCCTCAGATGGCTGCGATGGCCAGGGTCCATGCAGGGAAGGGCCACAGGGAGGTGTTTTGTCCTCCACTCCCTGTCCCGACTCGCTCCAGTGACAGGCTTGCTTCACTGTGTCCCCAGCGTGGACAACGCCGAGGACCCTGTGTACGAGAGTCTGGAGGAGTTCCACGTTTTCGTCCTTGCCCACATATTAAGGAGGCCCATCGTCGTTGTAGCAGATACGATGCTGAGGGACTCAGGAGGGGAAGGTAAGTTTACTCGTAATGAAACAGATGTATTTTATTCATCACCCAGAAAGCGTAACATCCCGAGTAAGGAAGGGACAGTCCAACGTAATGGCTGAGCCTCCAGAAGGACACAGAGCCTTACTCTGCCTGGACAAAGGTCTTATTTCTCCTCGTTTCTCCTCGACTCCACATGTTTCTGGCTCCTCCCAGTAGAGAAGGGATTACTCTTTTTTATTTTTTAATTTTTTTTATATATTATTTTGGCCATGCCACACAGCTTGTGGGATCTTAGTTCCCCGACCAGAGATTGGACCCGGGCCCTCAGCCGTCAAAGTGCAGAGTCCTAGCCACTGGACAGCCAGGGAATTCCCAGGAGAGATTACTCTTGGCCGTCCATCCACCCTGTGTGTCCACGGCAGGAAAAATGTGGCTGAGTGGGGGTGGGGATGAACCCCGAGGGGCTCCGGGCCCCACCCATTGCCCACACCCTCCAGCAGTGCCGGCCTCATCCCAGGGCCATTTGGCCACTCAGCCACTCCGCCACTCAGCCACTCCAGTCCCCTCCTGCCCCTCGCATGTGTCTTAAAGAAGAAACAAGAAAGGCAGAAAATGCAGTCATCCGCAAGGCTGTGATGGGACCAGGGCTGGGGGAGAAGGAGGAAGGGATGGAGGGCTTCCCAAGGCCGGTACCTGCTGCACTGCCCATCACGTGCACCCTCTCCCTTGGCCAGGCCACTACCTCCCAGGGTAGACACTGCCTCCCGCTTTACAGACGAGGAGCCCGAAGCCCAGAGAGGCCACACAGTGTGCCCCCGCCTTCGGCTGAGGCCTTGAGGAAGCAGGGTCGACCCAGGCAGGGAGGGCTCCACGCGTGTCCTCCTTCTAGCCTTTCTGCTGGAGCCCACAGGGCACCATGCTCTCTGAAAAGGAGGGACAGAGGAGGGGCCAGGATGGTGGATGGACCAGGAAGGTCACCCTAGTGTAAGTGCCCTGCCTCTCGTGGCTGTGGTTACCACAGAAGGCAGGGAGCTGGGAGTACCTTGGTCACTCCCAGTGACACAGGCCTGCCAGGGTCTGCAGCTCTCTGGGTGCAGAGCCTGGCCTCCCATCGGGGTCCCTGTACTCATCAGATCCCACAGAACTGGGTCCATACTTCCTTCCTTTGCACCTGTACTGGAGGGTGCAGCCCTCTCAAAGGCGGACCCATCCTGCCTCTCAGCAGAGAGCGGGGCAGAACCATGGTCACTGATATAGACAAAGCGAGGGTGGGGAGGAATCCTGAGCTCATCAAAGACATCCCTGATGTCGAGTGTCCTTTCCTTCCACAGAAGGGCAGTGAGTCACTGAGTCTGAGGCCAAGAGGCAAGGTTCTTTGTAATTAAAAAACAGATGCCGTGTCAGGGCAGGTATTTCCAGTAGTTACTGTATTTCAGTGAGCATTTAGGCTTTTTCCCCCTTTTGGTAAGGAAATGAACAAGACTGTGTCCTGGTTGCTAAAGGAGCTGATCCCCATCCCTCATTTCCCATCTGACTCACGACTTGGGCCTGGAGTGCTCTCACTGAGCTTCTCAAAACCTAGAACAAATAAGCTCTCAAGCAGCACATATATTGTTCTGTATGCAGATGCCTTCGTGAACACAGGAGAGGAATAAGTACATTCAGGAAAACACGGGTTTCTAGGTGGCCATCAGCACACGTCCTGGCTGACCATCTGGGGTGGGCGTTTTGATCACCTTGGCGGGACTCAGGGCAGCAGGCAGGCCTGGCAGGTCACAGCAGAATCCCCGCAGCCCTGCTTGTTTCTAGGGTGCAGCTTGACAGAGCACAGGGACAAATGAGCCAGGAGGACTCTGCCCAAGGAGGCAGGTGGAGCAGGGTGCCCTGGTCAGGTACAGGACTTGGGGTCTAATGGGCCTGGTCCCTACGAGCCTGGGCTTCCTCATCCATCGGTGGCAAGCATCACCTAGCTCCCAGGGAGCTCCTGCCAGGTGGGTGGAAGCCCCTCTGCTGTGGAGTAGGTGATAGATGACAACACCCGGGGCTGCAGCCTGAGCCCGCCCTCCCTTCCCTCCGCCCTGTCACCTCCCCCAGGATGGTGAGGGATGCTGTCCATGCCCCCTCCAGATCCACATGCCCTCACCCTTGTTTGTGTCTGCAGCATTTGCTCCAATCCCCTTCGGAGGGATTTACCTGCCCTTGGAGGTGCCTCCCAACAGATGCCACTGCTCACCTCTGGTTCTTGCCTACGACCAAGCGCATTTCTCTGCCCTTGTGTCCATGGAGCAGAGAGACCAGCAGAGAGAACAAGGTATGCCCGCCGCCACCTAACAGTGCAAGGTGGGGAAGGGGTGGGCCAGGAGGGGCAGGAGGCGGAATATGGAGACCTCCCTGGGAAGCGCACTCAGCAATGATAGGTTTTGCCTAAAACTACCATATGCATGCAAAAAAAAATCATTGAAAATAATGCCATTTGCAGCATCATGGATGGAATGGACTTAGATTATCGTTATCATAGATTATCATACTAAGAAACTTAGATTATTATACTAAGTGAAGTCAGACAAAGACAAATATCATACGATATCACTTATATGTGGAATCTTAAAAAAATGATACAAATCAACTTATTTACAAAACAGAAACAGACTTACAGACAGAAAACAAACTTATGGTCACCAAAGGGGAAAGGGGAGGAGGGAAAAATTAGGAGTTTGGGATTAACATATACACACTATTATATATAAAATAGATGAATAACAAGGAACTACTATATAGCACTATACTCAATATTTCTACTAACCTCTAAGGAAAAAGAATCTGAAAAAGAATATATACATATATATGTATAAATGAATCACTTTGCTTGTACACCTGAAACTAACACAACATTGTAAATCAATTATACTTCAGTTTTTAAAAAAAGAAAATAATGCCACAGACAACTTTTAATTTAAATTATGAAGCAAATTAATAATCAAGCCACCCTTAAATAACTTTCACTGTGGTTCCCTTTCACATGTACGCATATATTATATGGATGTAATTAATCTCAGATGTAATTTGTTTTCTTCTTTTGCGGTACGCGGGCCTCTCTCACTGTTGTAGCCTCTCCCGTTGCGGAGCACAGGCTCCGGACGCGCAGGCTCAGCGGCCATGGCTCACGGGCCCAGCCGCTCCGCGGCATGTGGGATCTTCCCGGACCAGGGCACGAACCCGTGTCCCCTGCATCGGCAGGCGGACTCTCAATCACTGCGCCACCAGGGAACCTTCAGATGTAATTTTTAAAAGCCCGTCTACTTTGTTAGACTAACCAGACGATCAAAATATTAAAACTCTGGACTAGTAATAAACTTACACTTAATAAATAAATAATTAAAAGCCCGTCTAGTGCAGAGAGTCAGCAAATTACAGCCCACTGCCTGTTTGTAAATAAAGTTTTATCGGAACACAGCCACACTTGTTCAAAGACGTATTGTCTGTGGCTACTGCTTTTGTGCCCTAACAGCAGAGTTGAGAAGCAGCCCCAGAGGCTGTGTGGCCTGCAAAGACTAAACTATTTACTAATGAGCACTTTACGGAAAATGTTTGCCAGCCTCTGCCCTAAAGTAAGCTTTTGAATCAAAAGATGGATTTTTCCATTCAAATCATTACATGGGAGTTTCCTGCCAGGAGCCATTTCAGTGCTGCAGAGAGGCTTGCCGGTCTGGGCCCACAGGCTGCGCACTGCACAACTCCAACCACCAGTCACGTAGACTCATGTGGGGCCTGTCTTCAGTCAATGCATTATGTGTCTGCTGTGGAAATGGCGGGATTTTGTTTGGAATGTTAACTGCTGATGGTTGTGTGACTGACTGAGCAAATAAAGGGAAACTCTTCCTTTTTCACTTCTGTGTCTGGTTAGACAGAGAACTCCCAGGATACTAAAAGAAGGAGAGACTGACCAGTTTCAGGGTCCCTGCCATAGGATGTGGTCCCAGGAAATCCATGGTGGCTCATCCTGTGGTGATGTGAGTCCAGAAGGAGAGGGAGCAGGGCTGCCACTGGCTGTAAGGGGACTATCACGTCCTTTTCCTGTGCTATTTACAGACATCTCACTTTAGCCATAGGAAGACATGTTTCATCATTAAGGCCTAGGTGCCATTTGCCTTTTCTGTTGTCTCTCTGCGTTTTGGCCAGTGAGAGCTAGCACCTCCCTCACGGCTTCCAGCTCTTCTCAAAGCTCACTGCAGCTCTTGAGAGACAGGAGGGCCCTTTCTCTGCAGCCTCAAGACCAAAAGCCTTTCATTTAGAAGCCAGATGTGGGCCATGAATATTAAGAAGAAACTTAATCAGGATAGTAGGTCAGAGGCTCCTAACTGGGCAACTCAGGACTTTGGCTTCTATAGAAGAACTGTACAGAAAAAAATGAAAAAAACTATAAAAGAAAGGTGAAATAATAAATCCATGATATAAAGGTGAAACATTTTAGAAACAATTAACATATCAAGTATAAATTTTGGAGAATTTGAATAAAATTGGCTGTTTTTCATTTAGAAATTTTTAAAAAGAGGGCCCTTCTCAGGACCAGGGATCCAGGCCAGGTGCAGGTCCTCTCATCCAGTCTCCCAGAGACTCTGTAGTCAGGGAGAGATCAAAGTCCCAGGGCTGGCATCTCCAGTTGCTGAGCAGGGCCTTCAGAGCCCGGCTCCCTCCTCACAGAGGCACTGAGCTTTCTTTCAGGCCGTCCAGATACTGCTTATGGATGCTTTCAAGGCCAATGTGAAGGTGCTCTTCAATAAAAGGACAAATGTGGAGGGGTTACTGCCTAGCAAGGGAGCGTTGCAGAGGTGCAGGTGGTTTCACCTCTAAAGACTTTTTTTCCCATAAGTGGATTCTGGTCCCAGTGTGGGTTCTGAGCGGCTGTGTTGTGGGCTCCTGCAGCTCTGCCTGCTGGCTTGCTCCTAATAGCAGTGTGGTCCCTGCCTCCACAGCCCTCACGTGACCAATGTGCAGGGCTGCACGTTGACCCATTCAGTCCTCACGACCATCGCACAAGCAGAAGCAAAGCACGTGTAAGCGGCTCCCACTGGCTGGGTAACCTCTGTGCTACATGTCAGGCCCTCACACATTGGGAAAGAATACAAATGCTCTGCAGACTTTGAGGCTTTAAGTACTGCTACCGACACATCCCCTGTGCCATCCTCACTGAGCTGGTGGGTGCTGGTAGGTGCAACCCTGCTTCCTGCTCCTCCCACTGGCCTGAAGTCCCGTGGTCCTGCATGCAGTATTTTTTGGGGGGGCCGAGGGCCCATTCAGTGAAGCACCTGTTGCATCCAGGTTTGGGGACCCAAAGATGACAGTGTCCTTGCCTTGGGGCCCTTACCACCTTGTAGGTGAGACAGGCAACCCCATCAAGCCACATACTATACAAGGCAGGATGTTTCCGGAGCAGGCACGAGCTCCATTCAGCAGGGGAGCAATTACTCTAATTGGGAAGAACAGACAGATAGACCTGAGCAGAAGTGCTGGGCTGATGCAGGGATGTTGCTGGTGGGTGGCTGGCATGTTGCTGGTGTGGCCCAGCAAGCACATGTCATAGGAGCATGATGGCATTGGGCCTGGGTGCTGCCGTGTCCTCACTGCGTGGCCCGAGGGGCGCCATGTGCCCTCCCAGCCTGTCCCATTATCTGTTGCCGGTACAATAACACCCATCTCCCTGGAAATGAATGCTTTCTCCTCCCCTTCCTCACTCTCATTCCCTCCCCCCTCCCCTGTCCTCTGCCCTTCCTCTTCCTTTCTGCCCACTCTCCCATTTGGTCTCTTTTCATTTGACACATTTAAGGACATCACCACTTAATTATGAAGTGACCACCGTGGTCACTTCCACACATTGAAGTCCTCAGTCACCCCTGGGAATGACATTGCCTGTCCCCAAGCCAGGCCTGTCCCCTGATCCTTAAATGTTGCTTCTAAGATAAACCTAAAGGCATTGACTGGCTCCCTTCCTGGCCACCATTAGTGCCCAGCATCTCCCTGAAAGGAGCTGCCATGGGCAGGAGGAACAGAGCAGACATTGTCTGGGGAGCCATCACCAGAGGAAGCCTACTCCAGGGTTCCTGTGGGGCACTGTCCTACCTTCCAGCCTGACGGTAGAGGCTGTCGAGGGCTTTCTGCAAATACCAGATCCTAGCAATTCTGCCATTGTTACCCAGTGGTTGAGGATGGTGGGGAGAAGCTGAAAAGACGTCAGGAACCTGCTCAGGGAACAGACTCAGCCTCTCTTCTCAGCCTTTATGATGTCAAGAAAATGGAAGCAACCACAGAAGGCCATGATATTAGCCCCCAAAAGAATATAGTTCAGAATAGCATTGGGATGCAAGGGGCTCAAAGGAGAAAATAGCTGCTGCTGCTGCTTCTCTAACAGGGAGTCCTGAGGTAGGTGGTCCAGGGCTGGTGCATCAGCTCTAGACATTCTCAGGTACTCAGGCTTCAGCCTCTCCCTGCTCCACCATCCTTATTGTGTGGTTTCAGCCTTATGGTCATAGAATAGGTGCTGCAGCTCCAGGCATCACATCTGTATTCCAGGCTGGACCAAATGCCTCTCTTCTTGAAACTTTGTCATTTCAGTTGGGAAGAACACCTTCCCTCGACACGTGCTGGCATCTTACTAAGGCTGAGCTCCATACTTGCAGTTTCCCGGCTTCAGAGCAGCCTGAGAAGTGAGTGCAGTGGAGGAAGAAGGGGGTGAGGTGATGGGTGGGGGTTCAGTGAGCCAGCTCTGAATCAGGGAGAGGATGTGATGTTTCCAGGCAGTTCCATCTGGACTCTCCTCTTTATTTCACCAGCAATGACTACTCATCTGGGGAAGGGCAAAAGTGCAAAAATGAGTTCTTTACCAACTTGGGTCCTCATCTGGAAATAAACCACGTTGACTGTTAGGTTCTTAATCCCCTAAAAATCGGCGGTGCGTGAGGCTGTCAGTGCTGTGCTCCTTAGGAGAAAATCCATTCTCTTTCAACGCAGAGAGAGAAGCAGCCTTACTCCCAGGGCCGCCGTGTACCGCCCGCCCGTGGATGTCAGGTTCCGGGCTGCCTGGGTGAGGGTGGCGCATGCGCCTTGCAGTCCTGGCCGTGGCCACGCCCCCACAGGAGGAAGAGCCGGGGCGGGGGCGGTCCTGCTGAGAGACAGACCTGGCGCCACGCGGCTGACTTGACGGCACGCTCCTGTCCCCCCCCC